TTATTTACAAAAGAATGAATAATATTAAAATAAAAAACTATATTAATTTGAATTATTGAGTGTTTAAGCCAAAACATAATTTTAATTATTTAATTTAAAATAATTTCATTTTAAAATATTCAAAAATCAATAAATAAATAGTAATTGCTTAGTGTAGTAGTAGTTGTATAGTTAATTTCTAAAAAAAAACAATGATTCAATATTTTTTAATACACCATAACTATACTAAATGAGTTTAGAGCTTTCAGTATGAAACAAAAAAAAAATACTATAAAAAAAAGTTAACTTGTAAGAAATCTATTAACTAAATTTGAAGTTAATAGACTAAAATAAAAATTATTATAAATTTGATTTCGATTAATTTTGATTATATAAAGAAGAAATAAATTAATAAAACATGTGAACTCTTTTTCTTCCTTTTTTTCCTCCTTCATAAATACTTTTTTTATTTCTATGCTATATATGGCTAGTCTTTGAATATAGGCCTCCCGCACAGAGCAACTATCTTCTTTTTATTTTTCACATTTAGCTTTCAACTATTAATTAATTAATTTGAGTTTTTTTCTAAAAATAATTGAAAAACAATTATTTGAAATACACTTTTAATCTAAAAATATATTTTAGATAAATTATATATATTAATCATGCCACTATAATTTAAAAGTTATCTAAAACTATTTTTCAAAAGAAAAAATAATCATGTTCTAAAAATTTATTCCAAAATTCATACATATAGAAAAATAAATCAAAACTATCAGTAAATATAATTTTAAATTAATTGGATGAGAATTTAAAAAAATGTCAAATTAAAGTAATAAATTTTAAATAATAAAAATAATTAACAAAAAACACTAAAACAAAATGGGATCAAATCACAATATAATCAAAGTTTGAAATTGGAAAAAAAAAGATTTGAAAAAATGACAAATTAATGTAGTAAATTTTAAACAATATAAAAAAACTGAGAAAAAATTATTTAAAAAACACTTTTAATCTAAAAAGGTATTTTAGACAAAAGAGTATTTCAAACAAATTATATATATTAATCATGCCACCGTAATTTAAAAATTATCTAAATCTATTTTTCCAAAGAAAAAATAATCATGTTCTAAAAATTTATTCCAAATCCATACATATAAAAAAATAAATCAAAATTATCAGTAAATATAATTTTAAATTAATTAGATAAGAATTTAAAAAAATGACAAATTAAAGTAGTAAATTTTAAATAATAAAAATAATTAACAAAAAAACGCCAAAACAAAATAGGACCAAATCATAATATAATTAAAGTTTGAAATTAAAAAAAATTAAAAAAATGACGAATTAAAGTAGTAAATTTTAAATAATAAAAATAACTAACAAAAAAACTAAATTAAAATGAGATCAAATCACAATACAATTAGAGTTTGAAATTGAAAAAAAATTAATATAGAAAAATTGAGGAGCAAAGTGTTACGAAATGATATGAATAATAAAAAAAAATGATTTATAAATATGTGAATAGTAATTTATGAGTGTATAAATATTATTTCAAATAAGAAATAAATAGTAAATACTTTAGTTTTATTATAATCCTCAAGTTTTGGCCATTGTACGTTGTAATTTTTCGGAAGTCATTTTGGTTTATTTATTGATGCGAAAGTTTCAAACAGCATGGAAATTTGGACGTCATCGGCTGTCCATTTAATGATTCCTACGGATCTAATATAATAACACTCATGTCTACCCTGCCATGATGTTTTATTTAATATTTTATGATAAAGTATATATTTTTATTATCTAGAGATATTTATTAATGAAGAAACTACAATCTCCACTCATATATTACATGTATTAGTATTATTTGTCACATATAATATTATTAAATCAACATACTTTTAAAACAAGATATATATATATATATATATCTCATCAAGCTTTACTTGTCCTCTCTTTCCTTTCCTGATACCATAAAGTTGCTCTCACAGTAAATACAACGGCCAAAAATCATCTCTTTTTATTATTATTATTATTATTATTATTATAAGGGTTTTATAGGATTTTTTTTCCTCACTCTTTTGCATCCAAAGTTTAATTTTGACACCCTAAATTTCCATAAATTCCTGTTCTTTTTTTTTTTTTTTTTTATGAATTCCTAATACCTTAACTTCTCGAAACTCATATCTTACTTTATTTTCTTTTGCTTGCAAGCTTTAAAAACACGTTTTTTTGTCAAAATAAAAATTAATAATAATAATTTTAATCCAAAAATTTGAAATTTTTAGGTGAAAACTCATAAATGATTTTATATGATCGTTTAATATTTTTACATCTAATTAAAAGTATCACAATATTCAATATTTGGTGTTACTAGTTTCTATAACTATTTTTTCAATTTCATGGAATCTTGCATCCTCTTCTTTTGCCTCAAAGACTCACATACATGTCAAGTGTCTATTTGTTAAAAGTAAATAAAGAATTGTTAATGTTTTGCTACCGTTTTAAAATAAAATATATTTTTTATACATAATATAAGGTATTAAACCAATAAACCCAAGTTTAAGAAATTTTTTAAAGGTTTTTGATCTACCATCAAACTCCTTTTCAATTTTCTCCTCTCTTTCCCAATTATTATTTGGGCCTTAGTTACTTTATTTGGGTATCAACTTTCGACCCATTTATGTTTTGAAGGTTTTAGTACTTCGTTAAAATAATAATAATAATAATAATTGCTGGTACAAGTTAGGCTTGTTAAAGTAACAAATTTTGGCGGTATAAACAAAGCAGCGCAATTCTAGTGGTAACCCCTGAACCCACTCTCGAGCTCTGTTTATTTTTACGGAAAAATGCACAGTTTATCTTTATACAATGAGGTGAATATTCATTCTGTTTTTATATTTTGAAATGAATTAATTATATTTATGTATTTTAAATAAATTCTCAATCTATTATTTTAGTGACTTTTTCTGGCTAAACTATTAAAAAAATTACATAATTTATATATGGTTAATTTTTTTCATTTTTCTAAAAAAAATGTGATTTGCAAACGTTCGTCTAAAGGAAATTTTTGAAAAAAAATAATTATGTATATATTATGTGAATTTTTCTGATGATTAAGATAAAAAAATTCACCAAAAAAAAATTAAAAATTCATTTAAAATAAAGAGATATAATTAGTCTATTCTAATACATAAAAACATATTAGATATTCATCTCATTATATAAATATAGACTAAGCCATTAACCATGTTTTCATTAAACCGCATGGAGTATTCGAAATAAAATCTAAGGCTAAAAGTATAAATATCCCCTAAATGATTTGATTAGTAGAAACTAAACTTCTGCTTATCAGATTTTCTGATTTTAACTCATACTCCATGGTCTCAGCAATGTAAAACTGTTTGGCTTCCGTTTAATAAAATCTTTGAAATCATATATATATGTCTGTGTGCGTGCGTGTATGTATTAGCATATATTAAAAATTAATTTAAAAAATTAAGAAAATCGAAAGAAAAAAAAAAAAAAGCATCACTCTTTCTCCGTAAATGGTTATTAATCTGCCTCGGATCTCATATCACAAAACTATAAAAATATAATTAATTAATAAATAATCTAGATGAAGAGAAATCATCACACAAAATAACAATAAATTGATCCATTAAATCTTACTGGTTTAAAACCATCAACCATGAGTAAAGGATCGTACTCCAAGTATAGTTGGTGTGGATTTATAACTTTTAACCATGATAATTTTTTTTGATTTGGCTGGGTTATTATTTTTAAATTGAAAAAAAAAGGTTGACTTTGGATAATTGAGAAACGAAACAAGAGATTGGCTCTTCGATTCCCTTATTCACTTTAATTAAATTAATTTTGGTTATTTTTATTTAAATTATTATCCTAAACAAAATACAGCTTAAATTACTTTAGGTTTAACTGAATGAAAAATCATCGTTTTTGTAAATGTATTTCATAGACACATATTATGTTATTCGGACGTGCCTTTTAACATTTTTAGAGGACAGAACCTATCAAAAATCCTATATTTCTTAACCTAATAATACAAGTGATTAAAATTAGAAAACCGATAGATTTAGGAAATATATTTAGAATTTAGTTTTCATTAATCAATAATTCATGGGATGTTTGTATCAATTAACCTAAAATCAACCTGAAAAGGCAAAAATACAAATTTCTAATACTTTCTTCTCTACTCTTTTGTACGTTTCTTATTTTAGTAAATCATAAATTAGTCTCTTTATTTAAAAAAAAACAAAATGAATTAATTATTCTTCTTGTTCGAAAAACTAACTATTTGGTTTTTTTTTTGTTTTTTAAAGAAACTTATATAGATCCATCATGTCTACATGTCTACATGATTTTTTTATTTTTTTTATTCACATATCTAAGCTTTTTAACAAAAGATTTGAATCAGTAATCTCTTATTAAAAAAAACTGCTATCACCTACATTACAAACTTTTGAATTATATGTCTAAACAATGATTGATGATAAATCATGATAATTAAAAAATACTTTAGATTCCACATAGCTATTTAGTTTCTTAAACAGTACGGTCATTATGCTTAATTTAATGTTATATTTTTTTCTAAAATAAAAAATTAAAATAAATTAAAAATGAGAGAGAAAAGGATTAAGACACAAAAAATTTAAAAACAAGGGACTAAACAATTAATTTTTATCAAAGAAACTCATTTATTCATTTCTTGAAACTAAAGGGACTAATTTATAATTTACTCTTCTTAATTAGTAATTTATTTTCATTTTTATTATCTCAAAAGGGAAAATTAAATAAACCTAAGCAATAAATTTCAGTTCCTTCGTCTTCTTTACTCTTTCGAGAATTCAAAATCCTACCTTCCCCTAAAAAGCGAAAAAGAGAAAGAAGCAATTGCTTCTTAATAGGTTTGCTTTTTTCTCTTGGGGACTTCAAATCCAGAAACACAAAATCGAATTCTAAAATTGTGCAATTCTCCAAATTAGGGTTAGGGTTTAACTATGTATGCTGATCGCGTAGACGCTGCAGCGAAGACTTCAATAAGGGATCGCCTTAATGGCAATTCCATTGGCGACTCCACTCGCCGCCGTCAAATTACCGGCAAAAGGTTTTGTTTTCTTTTTAATTTCGTAGAAATCAAGTCCCATTATATCGTTTCCCTCTCTCTACTGGTTTTACTTTACTTCAATTTTACTTTTTGTTAGATTCTCATTTATCATCTATTAATTCAAATAAAGTGAATTTGGGTTTTGTGAAGTTTTTTTTCTTTATTTTGGGTCATCCAATTTAATAGTTTAGTGAGAATCTACATTTTAATATTGGGAAAGAAAAAAAAACAGTAGTTGAGCTAAGCGCTATCCATCTTCTACTTTGTAAAAAATGAGAATCTGTACATGGCTAGAAAAGTATATTGGGAATTGCATTGCAAACTCAAGTTTATGTTTATATCTTTATAGAGATTAGAGATACGGGAGCTTGATGTTCAGTTCTCACCTGATGATATGATCATCTTATTTAACTGTTTCATTTTTTGAGGATATAGCCACATCTCTTTCTTTTGATGCTTGAAATATGTTTAAGCAACTCGGCATATTCATTTTTATATTTGGGAAAGTTTGGGAATTTTTTGACACGAACCATACTACGTATGAGAGATTGAGATTTTTAATAACAGAGTAGAGAAATTGGTTATATCAACTATAGGCTCTGTATAGATAAAACGATTATCCAGTCCTCCCTTGAAACTTGCTATCGTTAGGGGCTTGAAGTAGCATACCTTCTCATACTTTATACTGAAAACTGCAGCTAAAGGACCTTTGAGAATTTGCTTTCTATAATTAGGTTCTGTTTATATGGCTTTTGAAAATTGATTTGAGTTTTGTAAATTTTGATTCAAAGAAAAGCCATAAATATGTTTGGTTAGAAATAACTTTTGACTTGAATAAAAAAAATTGAGTCAAATTTTTGCATTAATCAATAGTTAAAATTTGAACTTTTAATTTTTTGATTCAACTTATATTAGCTGCTTTCTTCAGAATAGTTGCTTTGAGTCATTTTTTGCCAAACATACTTTCAACTTGACTTATTGTTATATAAATTATTTATAAAAAACAACTTCTGTATGATGACTCAAACTCAAATGTTACTTTTCATTGGTCATGCCCAACAAATTCTTGGTCATATAAAATATGTTCCTTTCAAGTTAAGGCATGGACTGTTTGGGTCGTGACTATGAGTGTACAGGTTTTTTCCTACTGGACTGTGCTTTCATTTTTTTTTTACCCCATTCAATGATAATGGAATGAATCTCTTCCATAATGATGCTCTTGTATAATTGCTACCCCGGTTGGTTTTTTGTTGTTCTTGAGTTTCCTAATATCCAGAACAGTATCACTGAGTTCATATCACATCTTGTGCAGGGAGAGGCTAGATGATAAATGGGAACATGATCTCTATGACGATGATGGACCACGTGTTTCAAGTATGGATTGACTATGACAGAATTACTGGCATCTAAAAATTGCTGCTATTGTTGGATGCAACTAAATCAACTATATTTTCTTTTGACTTTTTGTTAATGACTTGTGAAGATCGGAAAATTGATGCTCGAGATCTTCGATTAAAGCTCCAAAGGAAAAGCTTCCAGCAAGCATCTCCACGTTCAGGTGTGAGGGATCTGCGTGAAAAACTATCGGGGACAATGTATTCAAAGCCTGCGAATGTTGATCCACCCAGAATAGCTGTTGCTAAACCAGCCAGGAAAAGTGTTGTCGTTGAAGCTCCTGAACCAGAGATTAAAAAAACTGCCAATGTGGCTTCTGGAAAAAGATCTCAGCAGAAGGCATAAATCTTATCATATTCTCTCACCATGTGCTTACCTTGCTTTTGTTTTCTTGGTGATTTCCATTAATGCTGAGGCATAAACCTTTTGATTTATTGATATTAGGAAATTACTGTTTTAGATTACCTTTTTAGGTTGGGTGTATGTCATGTGTTCATTTTGCATGATCCACTTTGCCTTGTTTCTAAGAATTTTCTCTATTTTGGATGAAATTTGGGAGAGTTGTGAACTTGTAATTTATGTCTGAATAGTTATAAACCTGAAGTATTAAGCTTGCTGTAAATTTGAAAACAACGCTGAAAAGGAAAAAGTTTGCACCAGCCTTTAAGTTTATTAATTTTTCAGTCACCATGACACTTTAAAGGCAAATATAAGAAACTCTGCCCTGTAATTAGAGGTTTCGAGTTCTTAGGTGCCTTGGTGCACTGTGGTAGATGCAATTTTTTTTTTTTTTGGTTATTTCAATTTATCTTTTACTTTTTGTGATTTGTCAATTGAAAACTTGACCAGTTGATGCTATGGTGCAAAATGAGAGACTGCTGCAACGACTCATGTTTTTTGCTAAAAGGAAGTAAATGTTTGAAGTGATCTAATTTGAGCTAAATGTTAGCATTAGCAATTCGTTAGGTATGCATGCCATGGCAAATGGATAAGAGGAAGGTCTCATAGACATGCTATCATAGGATCAATAGTTGTGCATTCATGAGAGAATGTCTTTCTTTGTTTTTCTTTTTTTTCCCCAGTGTTTATTTACTTCAAACCAGTTCATTTAAGTGGCAGTTAATCATGATACTTAGTATCGTTTATTGATCATTTAGGTAGGTAAGTCGAAGCCTTTGCTTAACTGTAAGTGGAAAAAGATCTGTGTTCACATAACAAGGACAAGTTGGGATGGCTCTACTATACTGTTACTGCCTAAAATTCCAACCCAAGTTATAACATGTCAATTGAAGTTGTGAAACTGCTGTTTGCATGTCAAATCATTGGTGCAGACTCCTTTTGTGTATTTCTAATTCTTGAACCTTTGTTGCAGATGGATTCATCAGTTGATGGTTTTTTGCATTCTTTGGGTCTTGAGAAATATCTCATTACTTTTCAAGCTGAGGAAGTATGAAAATTTCTTTTTGGTTTATACACTATAGATATGTGTACTTGCTTATCATCTTCAGGAGTATTTTCTTGATTATTAACATGCTCCAATCTATACAGGTTGATATGACTGCGCTTGTACACATGACTGATGAAGACCTGAAGGCTCTAGGGATACCAATGGTAAACTTAAGCTGATCTCTTGGCAGGACATGGATATATATTTTATGGTTGATTTTCTCTATTGAAATTTTTAGTTTTTTATCATTAAGAGATCAGTAACTCGGGCATCTGTCTGAATTCTAGTTTTTGACAACTTATTATAAGACTTGTCTTAACTTGTGGTCGTCATTTTAAGCATGCAGTTTTCAGCAAGTATATTAGTCTTGTGCATCAAAAAATCTTCTAATCTTGATTAAAAATTGCTTAGTCAGGTTGCAGGTTTTCTTTAAAATGTTCTTCTTGGCTCCTTTGACTGATTTGTGGGTTGAGAGAGAATGTTGTGCATACTCTCTTCCTCACAAACGCTCTTCCCAAAAGTGAAAGAAAACAATGATAGCTGTACTTGTGCAGTTTTCAACTATTGGAATAGTGTGTCTGTTTTTTTTAACAATTTGCATAATATGCTGTGCCATTAGACTAGGACTCTTCTTTGTGTGTTTAGGGCTGACAACATAAATATAATGGGATATGTTTTTTTTTTCCTTAATTCATTTAAAATACATGGAAAACTCACTTCTGATTTCAACTTGAAGGTGTTCACTTCTTGGATGGGGCATTGGCTCGTCATAACATTTGATTTTCCATTTCTCCCTGCATTGCCCTTTTTGAATTGTACAGATCTAATGTATCTTTGATAGGTCAACCATATAACAGTCAATTGTCATTTCATGTGAAGATGCTGCACTAAGCTTTTTCCCCCTCATCGTTACCTATTACTGGTACCAATCCATTTCTGCATACATTTACAAATCAAAACAAAAATTGTTTTATAACTAGGTCAAGTGGGTAAGAGCATTATGTTATTGTTCTGGGTATGTCCATTCTGAATGATAAAAGCATGAATGCTAAAAATTGGAAGGCACTCTCGCACCATGATAGTTCGCACTGATCAGATGTAATATGCCGTTTTTATTAACGCTACTATGACCTACCTACTTTTTCAGCTTTGCTTTCCTCCGGACTTCGTATGTAATTTAGAATTTAAAATTCGTGGTTGGGATTCTTTGTTCACATGGTCTCGTTCCTCTTCTCTATTCCTGATCAGATGTTTGGTTCCCTTTGGTGGTTTCAGGGCCCAAGGAAGAAAATACTTCTAGAGTTAGAATCAAGAGGCTGAGACTCAAGAGACATGTATTATTGGTTTGACACCCTGGTTGATATAAACCTTCATGTAACATCTTCCTTTGTTTTCCCTTGTATTGCTATAGTGGCTTAGGCTGGTTAATTATTGTGAAACCAGTATGAATTGTTAGCTCTCAACGAAGGTTGAAACTTTTTTATTCTTCTGGTTCCTTTGGATTTTATGGATATTAGATGATAGGTAGAAACCTCGAATTAATGCAATTTTTCCCCTTGTTTAATTGTACAATTTTTTGTTTATATTTTCCGGATGGTTTCTATTATTTAAGCTCTTGGAAAATTATGAGGAGAAAAGGCAAGGAGAGCATGTTCCTCTCTGGATGACAATATATCAAAAAGAACGAAATGAACTTTTTAAATTTAAAATTTGAGGTTTAAGATTCTACATTACATTTGCCTTTACGAGAATAAATTTTGCCCGATTACATCTATCTGTGCTATGAATTACTAGTTGCTTATCATGGAAGAAGGGTCTCCATCAGTAGTTGTGAAGAGAAAGAACGAGCCTGCCACCATGTCAGTGGAGATGCAATGCTTTTACAATGGTGGAGAAAAAATCCATTTGCTGTCGATATGTAATCTGGCATTCATAATCTTTATTTCGAACTTCCATTGCACCGTGCAAGATAACATGATTTAATTACCGAATATATATATATATAAAAAAATTTTCTTTTGGGGGGGGGGGGGGGGGGGCTGCTGGCAATTGAGAAAAGAAAGGAGCATTGGTTTTCGTTTTTATATGTTCTTTGATGGTAATTATTCCCCCTTTATATAAATAATTTATTGTTATATTTTTTTTAATCTTGAAATTAGATGTGAAAATATAAAAATAGATTGATATTTTTTTTAATTTTATGTACAGTTTGATCGTAAGAGAATATATATGATATTTTTTAAGATTTTAGTTTAAACATATATATCTTATTATATTATTTTTATTATTTAAAATTTATTTCTTCAATTATTTTTTCTTATTAAAATTCTCATTGAGTTAATTTTTTAATTTTATATAATTTTATTTGTTAATAAATTTGATTTTTTTATATATAAATAGTTGTCGAAATAAAATTTTAGAACATAATTTTTTTATTTTTTAAAATATATTATTATAATTTATATGATTGATTATTTTTATGATTTTTAAATGAGAATATCGTAGTTGCATACATAAATTTTGATGAGAGAAAAAGCTAAAATTATATTTTAAATAATTTGACTTAATTTTTTTAAAAAAATAATAATCACTTAAAAAAATAATTTGACTTAGTTTTTTTCATAAAAAAAATATAATTTGTTAAAAAAATTTACAAGTTTTATTTAGTGTTATATATATATAATTTGAATTTATCGAAATTGATTTTATAACAATTTTCATTTAAATCTATTCACTTAGATATATTCCATACGATTTAAATGAGTTTTTTTTACACATTTTTTCATTTATTTTATAAACTTTAAATCTGCTAAGTATATATATATATATATATATATATATATATATATTCTCTAATGAGAGAGAGAGGAAGCTAAAAATGTGTTTTAAATAATTTGACTTAACTTTTTTTAAAAATAATAATTAGTTAAAAAATAATTTGACTCAATTTTTTTAAAAAAAATAATTAATAATTAAAAAAATTCACGGATTTTATTTGATTTCATATATATATATATATAATCAAAATTTATCAAAATCAACTTTATAACACTTTTTATTTAAATATATTTACTTCGATATATTCCATGCAATTTAAATGAGTTTTTTATATTTTTTTTATTTTATATATTTTAAATCTGCTAAATATGATATCTACACACATAACACCAATTATTTGTTATTTATTTTTTTCATATTTTTAAATATATATTTTTAAATAAAATAATTTAATTAATATTTTGAAAAAACCTCTTAATTATTCAAATACAAATTTATACTAATATTATAAATTATTTTGTTACTAAATATATATAAATCAAATAAGTTCGTTCAATATATAAATTCGATTTACATTAATATTTAGAAACAAAACATTTACTTATATCACACCATACGAATCATTAATCCTGTATATATAACGATTGTCTAACCATAATGTAACGCAGATATCTAACTAGTTTTCGCTAAATAAGCTGCTGCTAATGAACACATATCCATTAATAGAAAACGAAAGTAGTGCTAATCTTTTAGGTAACCAACAGCTCTGCTATCAATTAACAGTTTTCTTCCTATGGTGCTTGGGTTAGACGGTCTTTCTGGTATTTGGGAATTTGGATGCACTTAAAAGTGAGATCAAAATGATATACACAAGCAACCAAACTGAAAAATTTTGTCTCTACAGTTGCCTTCTGGGGCCTTTTTCTCCCAACAAATGGAGCCCTGCTCATGAAAAATCGCATTCAAGGCTATTAACTAAGATGTCACCTTTTCTTTAGCCTTCCATAATAAGTACTTCGCCTTTTCTTGCTTATATCTTCTCCATTCTCTTAATGCTGCAAGGAGGACATGCATTGAAACTGGCAAGAAGAAGGGCTGTGCAAATAGAAACAAAACTACATATTGTAAGAATAAATCGGGATAGTTCTACGAGCATGTATAAAAAAATTGACAGTGCAGACATTCTACAGAACTTCATTAGCATAGGAAATTAAATAGGACAAAAAGGGAAAAACATGATAATAAAATTGCTCTAGGAAACATACCGAGTACACTGCAAAACAGTGCTCAAACGAGTAGTAGCTGACAGACATGATTGATGGGTGGAAAAAGGCATCCTCTGCCAAAGATCTTGCTTGTCTTGAGGACACTGAGACAGCAAGATTAAACTCAACATTTAGGTTCCCCTTGACGATTCAAAGTTTAGACAGCAAAACCTCATCTGAAGCCACACGCATAGAGCTACAAAGTAGTTCATAGGAACATACCAGCGGAAGCATCATAAACTCCAAGAGAGGCATTTCTTAAAGCTAATTTTGCTGCTTCCAGAGAAAATTTTACCTGTACAAGGGATCATGAAAGCAGCATATTAGTAGGTTATTGTCTGACCACGTCAAAAGAGCTGAAGAGATCATGGCAAATGACAAATCCAGCCAGACATGATTCAAAGTTTAACAAGCAATGAAAATACTATTTTCCAGGAAAAAATCATTTTGGTAAATTTAAAATACAATGATCTATCAAGCCTTTTAGGAATGAAATGGCCAATATGACTAACAAAGAATATATACTCTGGAATTTAGCAAGAGAAAGAACAACGTGATGATATGTTACAATGACAGAGTTGATCCTACATTCCTGCTGATACATATGGAAATTTAGATGCACTGTTTGGATCTGGAGGGCCAATTCTACTTTGACAAAATTTCAGGACCATCAACATGGGGAGCCATGAAGGAAGAGCCAGAGGAAAAAGAGAAGTGCCTCAGACTCCAGTTAAATAGTGGACTAGTTGACATAAACAATCATTCTTTTGAAATCACTAGATGCACTATTTGTGAAAGTAACAAGCAAATGATTAGCCTCCCACCAGATCCTTAAGCTCTAGTGCTAAAACTCTAATATTTGTAATCCAATGACTTGGATAGTATCTTCTATCATTCACATTCTGCTCTTCTAGTTTATTTTTCATTTTTATGGCAGTGTTTCGACTCATGACACATGTGTAATCCAAGCTGCTTATCACCTCTATCTAATGCTTCCATAATGATTCCTTCCCATATCTAACATATTCTTATTCATACTCAAACTAAGATATATCTCTTTTTCTTCCATTAATCCAGCAGTAGCGATGCATTTTCAGCAATCTCAATTGCTAATGATCCCTTCTGTGGAATTCAAATTTCATTCTACCATCATGCTAGTTATAAGAATTAATTCTAGTAATACGACTTTTTCAATAAAAGAGCCTTTGGCTGCAAAATTACAGGATCTATTTATGGCAAAGAAAGAATAGATAATTAGATAACAAATAATTATTAGCAAAATTAAATAATTTTAACCTCATAAAAGACTTTGAAAAAGGAAATATTTTATAAAATAAGAAAGGATCATTAATAGTCATGGCGCAAAAATAGAAAATATTTAACATATCGTCTCATTTTATAAGGAATGAAAAATAAATGCTTCAAGAAAATACTCGGAGGTTTATAAAGTCATTATGATGTTGTCAAAAAGCAGCCCAATCAACACTTTTCTGAATTCTCATTTTGTGCAGTAAAATACAAATTAAAATTTTCAAAACATAAATTATTGATCAATACCAAATGAACTTTTGTAGAATATGTATTCTCTTTCAAAGTCTGAAATGCATTTTAGAATGCAAAACAATCAGGTCCTTTATCCTCTAGATTCACAGAGCATATATAAATTAATCCACCAGCAACTAAGGATGGGGTGCTCATGAAACACAAAACAGAAACAAGCATTCATTGGACAACTGACCTGCTTTCCTATCTCATCCGTAATAATCATCCTAGGCAACGACTGAACCTGCACAAAATATTTTGTTACGCTCTTCACAGAAAATCCAGTCAAATCAGGGGGGTGAGGTAATTAAAGCTTGAAAATACCAATCTTGAAAGAGATCCCAGGGTTGTGGAACTTGAGTGGAGATTAAAACACGTATGTTGCCGTGACAAGACATCCAATTCCCTTCAGAAAAATTATGATAGGTGAGAATACGCTCATGTTGGGCTACAAGTTTGAGTTCTCAGCACATTAAGAATTTTATAATCAATATAAACAAATCCAATAAATATAGAAGCCTTAAAAAATTCAGTTAAAGCAAAACATGTAAGCAGTGAGATAAGGTGTGAAGAATTCTGGAACAAAACTAATTAATTTCACAAGGACTGCTGACCAGTTGAACTGGATTCCTATTTTTAGATTGTAGTGCAGTACTTATTGCTAGGTTTTTATATGCAGGAAATGAAAAGGAAGGATGCTAGAGAAAAATTATTAATCTCTAACTCTAGTCAGTGAAAAGACCATTTTCTTACCATTCTGTGAAACCTTTTTCACTGGCTAAAAGACTGTAGGTGCCCAATGCACCCACATAAAGACTATCAGATTTAATACCAAAAAGTTGCCGGAATTGCCCCACAAAAACTTCAAAAACCATCTGAAGGTCCTGTTTCAGAATATGCTTATGTCAAACTTGAGATACATAAATAAAAGCCATCTGCTACAATAGAAAATGGATTTCCAGTCACTTAAAGTAGAGAAACAATTATGATGATTTCGTACACCCCTTGATTACATAAATCATTTTGATTCCCCACAACCAAAAAAATAAAAATAAAAATAAAAAAGTTGCAGACTTTTCTGCAATACTAGGAAAAAAGAAGCAGCAGCAGCAAAGGCATATTGTTATCTTCTCAACTTTATACTCTAAGTTGAGATTGAATTAACTGGCAAATAAAGCAGGTTTGACAATGGTATCCATGAGACTTTGTAAGCACAACAGGATAATACCACTCTTTCCTACAGAATGTATGCCACGAGAAACTTGAATGATAGATGTAGACTAGAAAAACTGCAAAATACGTTAAGGTTTTATAAGAAACCAAAGGGTAATAGTCCAATCCTTATTATCATATGTCCTGTATGATTGTTGTACGAACAATAAAAACATATAAGTCCTCAAAATGAAACAAGTTTTAAAGCCTTATCAATCACATCTTGCAACACAAAACTTCAAATATATGGCTCTACTTTTATGGGAAAAAAAACCTGCTTGCATCCCACTGTTTCCTATAGGTGGTATGAGTTATGTTTCAATGAACTTTGTATATCTTTTAAAATTCAACATATCACGCTTGAAAAAATAGAGATGAAAATTTATATGAAAAGGCATGTTTCAGCCAGACAGGGCAGATACCAAACTTGGCATGACATGTGGGAGAGAATGAAAAAGGAACCAAGATAGGTAATGTTTCGATTTTCAAGTGGAAAACCTAAGCCAATTTTCAAGCAAATGAAAAAATTATGTGCATAGACAATCTAGGATAATTTCACAGATAAACAGCTGACCTCAGGGGATATTAAATGTCTGACAGGAAGCCCACTGTCTGAATCCCTTGAACAGCTTTGGGGATTCCACACCATGACACCTCCCCACATCTGCAATGTGTCATTTAGAAACAAATTGTAATGTATGCCAATAATTTTGTAAAAAACATTGGTCAAATAAAAAATTGGTATGAAGCTAATAAATGTGTGATAACTAACTGGAGATATAAAGGCATTTGTTTTAGAAATCTCTCCATTTGGAAGCTGTAGAAGAAGAGGACATTCCTTTGCAGATGGCACATATCTGAAACAAAAGGAAAGAGAATGATAGAGTGAACTTTGCATGAAACAGAATTCTGTTTTCTTTAGCCAGAAAACAAACACAAAACAGTTTCATCCGACACTCAAATATTGGGCTGGAAGATCTTAACCTACTTTACTTGATAAAAACATATGTAATCAAACAAAAGGCATAAGGTGCTAAGATAATTATGAGAGTGACATATGACATGCTATATAAACTGATTCATCAATTCGATGCAATTGACCATCCAAGTAAGAGACATACTTTAATTTGAAAGAACAAAAGGAGATTGAGTAAAAGAATATACACCACAAATTGCAAGATTTTTGATCGCCCACCCGCAGCAATAGAAGTATCTAAGTGCCACTCAGTTGAGTTCACCTATTAAAAATATTTGAAAAAATTAGAGAAACAAAAGGATCAAAAGTTCCTCATCAGTGTGTGGTGTATAGAGTAAGACAATGTATAAAACCAAAGCATTCAAGAGTTTGGACCAAGGAATTTTAGGTTTAAACGAAATTAATTGTCTCGTTGTCCAACAAAGCATAGTCAGGAACTTGAGGAAAACTTACAAAGAAAGGAAGATCCTTGGTGCTAAAAATATAGCTGCCCAATTTTTCGTCCCAAGAAGAAAATGAAGACTTTGGAGTATGGTACAAAACCTATGAACAACAAGAAGAGGAAACACAATAAGATTTCAATTGCAACCAAAATGACCATACATATCACGAATCCAACAACAATGAGTTATCAAGAAAGAAAGATTATTCATTACTTGGCTTTCCACACTTATGTTTGCTATAGGTCCCAACGCTTCAAGCATAGGAGTCAACAGAGTTTCATCTATTTTCTGAAAATCCCTGCAAATAGACAATAATTTCAGACAAGTGTATCCAATTAAAAATAGTGGTTGTTCAGATAGCAAGCAAACATAAATCCCAGCCCGGCTATATGTACCAATATCTAACCAAAAGACATTTTTTGGGCTAGTAATCACACAAACTACTATCCTCAAACACCCTATTCAGCACGGAGTTAGATAGAAAGACAGATTACTTGATTTACGACTAGAAACAAACTGAAAGATGGCATGGCAGCTTTGAATAAGTAAAAGAAAGCACGAGTGCGAAGAAGCTTCACTACCAATCATAAATCCAATCACTGGGATCTGCATTGAGCAAATTAAATGAAAGAACAATCCTTCCATCAGCACCAACAGGCATGAACTCCCCATGAATCAACCCTTCCTCTCTCCCTCCATTCAGAAACACTTTGACAAAAGTCTCGGCCAATCTCTCCCCCACTTCTCCCACTCCCCAATCCCTCCCTACAATCCACCCGTGTCTGTACTTCCCAACAACCGCCTTCACTCCATCCACATCACCTCCATTTACCACCACCACACTATACACTTTCCCGCCAAAATCTAAATCAACAGACTTCAGAGCTTCATCAACACTCTCATCATCACTGAAATCCAAATCAACGGCTCGGATTGTGCCACACTTGTAAAAGCTAGAAGGAGATTGCGAGCAATCCCTGTCGTCTAGAGTCAGCGAGAGAGTGAAATTGTCGGTGCAGGCTCCGCATTGAGGTGGTGCTTCGGAGGTGAATTTGGTAATTTTGGAGCGAATCGAGAGTTCAAGCTCTTCTAAATTTAGGTTAATTGAAGATTTGGGATTGGAGTGGAGAAATATGGCTTGGAGATGGCAAGGAAAGAGCAACGGATTGGAGATGATGTCGCTTGAGACGTTATCGATGTCGCCGAATGGAAGTGGAGAGCGGTAGATCTCAACGGATTTAAATAAAAATGGGAAACCTACAAGGAAGGAAAGAAGGACTGAAAAGGTGAGGAAGAGCCGCTTCAATCCGGGTTTTGTTTTCCGCATGGTTTTAGGGTCGAAAATTTCCGATTCGGGTTGCTGTTGAGGTGGTGCAGGTGGCGGAGTTGCCGAAGTTTCGGGTGGGTGACTGGGAGATTCTGAGATCTCTTCCGCCATGTGATTCGTTGGTTTCTTGCTCTTCCTTCTTAATCAATACTTACTTACTCTTGCCTACAAACATTTCGAATCTGATTTTACGAAAAAATTAGCAATATTAGTTTTTGAAAAATTTTGCACAAGAAAACAACTATGGAATGCCTATTAAATAATATAAATTTTATCAATTAAGTTTCAAATATTTAAAAAAAAAATCTCAATCAAGTTTTTTTTTAATATTAATCAAAATTATATAAAAAAAAAAATGCCACGCGAATAGTGATTTATGAGTGATTAGATAGTAATAAGCTCTATTTGTTTTTGTTAACGTGCACATTAAACCAAAAATATTTTTTTATTTTACTTTTTCATCAAAATTTCTTCAAATCATCATTATATACAAATTAGAATTAAGAAGTTAAGTTATTAAAAAGAAATTGACAAAAAGACACATATGACAAATGTTAAAAACATTTGGGACTTAATTGATAAAATTTATAGAATGGGCATGTAATGGAGAATGGATCTATAGGTTTAGGACTAAATTAAGTTTTTCAATTTATTTATTGTCACTTTCTCATTCATGGTAGCTACCCCTTTTCTTTTTTTCATAGCTTATAGCTTAGATTATATTAATTTTTTCTTTACGTGTTGTTTGGTAATAAGAAATAGAATGATAAGAATAGAAATAAAAGTTTTATTCTCATGTTGTAGTTGTTTAGTTAAAAAAAATGAATTGGGAATGAAAATGAAAATTTATACACAACTTCAATTCCATATAAGATGTGGGAATAAAAATAAGAAATAAAAATGAATTTTTTTATCAAAATAATAATATATTTTATTTATTTATTGTCTATTAACTACTTTTACCACCACCATCTGCCGTCGCCGCCGTCGCAATCGGCACCACCACCACCACCATCACAACCACTCCAAGCACCTCCACCACCACCACTAGAACTACCGCTACCATAACCATCGTTGTCATCATCATCTTTATTATTTTTATAACCATTATAGCTTGATAAAATTATTTTTTTAATCATTATTTTTATTTGTATAAAAAAATAGATATTAAAAAATTTAAATTGCATTCCGATTCTTATATTTCCATTCTGAACCTTTCGTTTCCGATAACCAAACGACACATTAGCATCTATAGATATGGAATTGGTATTTAGCTTTATATGATGGAGTGGTGATGGGATGTGGAATGAGGGATGAGGGACGAAGGGAGACAATGAGAATTGACATTTATATATTTGGAAATTTAATTGTTTTATGATTATTCTAGATTTTATTATTTATTAGTTAAATTAGAATTTTCTTTTATTATTAAATTAAGAGTCATTAGTTTTTTATTTATTAATTTTGTTTGGTTGGATGTTTATCAATTAACATCATGAGTAGAAAATGACAATAGATCATGTATAAAATGGATATCTGTTTTCTCTAATCCAATAAATACATATTAAAAATATCCAATTGATATTAAAGTAGGTAAGAGTAAAAAAAAATATACCCATTAATATGATTTTCATAGTATGAGTATTCATTTTTTATCATATTAATTATCACTAATTTATTTTGATATTTTCAAATACACGAGGATCTAATTGCATAAACCTTAAAAATTTAAGGATCAAAATATTTTTTTCAAAACTTTTGAGAATAAAAAAAAACTTATAAAAATGACCAAAATGCCAAAAAAGAAATTAAGGAAAAAAACTTTACTTGAAAAATACAGGGATTGAAATGAAATATTTTTTATAAATTATTTTTAGCAAATATTAAATGGATACTACATGATCGAATAAACTAACATAGGTCGAGTAAAAAGAATACGCTACCTATAAAGATTCATATGATAATTTTTTAATGAATAATAAGTGAAATATTCCTTTTATAAATACGATAAAAAAAATAAATTAATGTATGGAATGTCAACTTATTATCATCCCTAATCACTAGCAAACATTCAATTAAAACGTATCATTATTAGGATGGTTTGATTACAAAAGCGTCAAGAGTTAAGAATACATGGGCACATATGTATTGGAGTTTTTATTCTTTAAATAAAAAGACTTTGAACGAGTAACTAATATACTAAAATAAAATGATAAAATGAACAATTGATTACTATTTGGAATATCGTGTCCACACTTATATTCCACTGTTCACTCTCTCACATTTCACGGTTCCTTTTACTATTTGTGACTTTTTTTACACTTTGGTCGCCGATATTTCGAATGCATATTTCGATCCATATGTTCATTTGCTTATCCATTTTGATCCTTGGGTGGAGATAGAAGGCCGAGAGGAAAAAAGAGACCGGAGGAGAGAGAGAGATCATCGACTAAGCTTATTTAGGTCACTCTAGCCGACGAAAATCCACAAGATTTTTTTATCTTTAAGAGGTGAGTTTGTCTATGGTGGTTTCAAGCCATTAAACAATTACATGAGGTAGATCGGAGCCAAAAAAAAGAAAAAAAACGATTTGATTTTATATTTTTCTTTGTTTTTGTGTGCATTAAAATGATTTTTAAGGTTTTAGATGTGTTTATTGGTTTTATTCCGGCCATTTAGAGGTGTTTGGAAAAAAATGATGTCGAATTCAATTTTTAGGGATTTAAAAGTTGACCCTCAATTTTTCGACGAACTTCCGACGACCTCGAGTTCGTCGAAAATTCCAGGTTTTTTTTTTTCAATTGAGCGAGCAAGCAAGGCCCGGCGCGCGATCCTATTTGCACAGCCTAATTGCATTGGCCTTTTTTTTTTTTTTTTTTTTTGGCAATGTGCAACTTGGTTGCACAAGCCAACCAGGCACCTATCTTGGTTAGCTTGCAACCAAACGCCTCTCTCTCTCTCTCTCTCTCTCTCTCTCTCTCTATATATATATATATATATATAAGAAAAAAATAAAAAAAAAGGTCTACCAAACAAAAAAAAGTGAAAAATATAAAAATTAAATCATTATTTTTTTTAGTTTTTTGTAAAGTTTATATATATATATATATATATATATATATATATATATATATATATATATATATATATATGACTTTTATTGTTTAAATTTAATTTTTTAATTAATTATTTCTTATTAAAATTCACATAAAAATAATTTTTTAATATAATTTTATTTGTTAATATATCATTATAATTTATGCAATAATTTTTAAAAACTTTTTAAATGAAATTTTTTTTGTTGATTATTTTTATTATTTAAAATTTTCTACTTTAATTTGTCATTTTTTTAAAAAATTCTCATCAATTTAATTTCAAATTACATTAAAAAATTTTAAATTTTTTTTCACATTTGATTTTATATATTTTTATACATTCACATCATAAAACAAACAATCAAACTAAAATATTTTTTTTAAATGATTTTATATATTTTATCCTATCCGTAGTGTAGCGTCGACAAAAAACCTAATATGAGACTGTATTTTATTTAATATGTGTGAGCCTACGTCCTCTATTTTTAAATTTATTTATGAATTATAATTGTTTAAGGTGGACTTCAAAGGTACTGGTTTCTAAATTTAATACAACTTGTTCAGAAAAAAAGAAAAGAAAACTCTTCATCACTTGAACCAATCATCCAGGGCAAGTTAATTTATATTCCACTCTGCATAGTAGATCTGAGCCCATAAGTAAATTATAAATTAATTTATTTAGTTAAAAAAAGAATTAATTAACTTTTTACTTTAAAAATTAATTATTTAATTTTTTTATCGATATTATCATACTTAATTTAATATTATTTTATTTTAAAAAATATTTTTTTCTTATAAATATTTCTCTAACATCTATTTATATTTTTTTTCCTTAAAAAACAAAATAACTTGAAAAGAAACACAAAATAGATGAAAATGGACCACATCTATCACAAATAACTTCTCCATCCAAAAAACAATTTGACCATTTCTTCACGAGTAAATTATAAATTAGTCACTCTATTTTTAAGAAATAAATTAATTAGTTTTTTTCGTTTCAAAAATTTAATTTTTTAATTTTTATAAATTTTATCACTTTATTATGTTTTTTTAATTAAAAAATATCATGAAAAGATTGATAACAAAAAATATTTTTTAAAAATAAAATAATATTAAATTAAGTATGGTAAATATTAATCGAGAAATCAAACAATTAATATTTAAAACAAGAAAATGTTATTTATTTATTTATTAAACCTAGTGGAATTAATTTATAATTTACTCCGTGTTCATTCATACAGCAGACCTCAATACCAAATCAATAGTTTTTTTTGTTTTTTTTTGGAGAGAAATGTTCAGAGACAGCGGCGAAAGGGACTGCTGCTGTACATTGGAGAGCTGGCTTGAGACTTGAGAGTGATGATCATCAAAGACAAAGAGCTCCTGATTCAAAGAAATATGGGTATAGTAAGTCATTTAACGCCATTTTTGTCTAGTTGCCGCTGTTTATTTGCAAATGACGTCGGAATAACAATAACCCATCTCTTTTGCTCTCCATACGTGTCTCTATCGGCTACTTCCTGTAAGCCTTTTACATGTTTGCTATAAGTTCCCAGAGAAATCTAGAGACCAAAACACGAGCTATTTTATTCGACTTACTCGTGAAAAATGAGGACTCAAATAATCAAATCTCTTTTTAAACGCCAGTTCACCTCCTCTATCGCGATCCGATCAAAAATAACATCAGCCCAGTACGTAGCATCGAGAGCTAGAGACGCTACATTTGAGAAACTAATGGACCAGTATAAAAACTTTGTCAAAGTCATTGCCATTCAAGATTTGATTCTCTCTAACCCTAACAAAACCCCTCCATCCATTTCACTTGATTTCCTTTCTAAACTTTCTCAAAAGCTCCACCTTAACCGTGGTGCACCTTCTTTTCTCCGAAAGTACCCTCACATTTTCCACATATTCTATGACCCTGCAAAGTCCCAGCCTTTTTGCAGACTAACTGATACTGCTCTTGAAATTTCTCGCCAAGAAGGAGAAGCTATTTATGCTTCATTGCCTATTGTTGTTGACCGATTGGTTCGGCTTTTGTTTATGTCAACATCCAAATCACTGCCACTTCGTGCTGTTTTTAAAGTTTGGAGGGAGCTGGGCCTTCCTGATGACTTTGAGGATTCGGTGATTGTGCAAAACCCGAATCTTTTTAGACTTTGTGATGGAAATGAACCAAACACACATGTTTTGAAACTGGTTGGTGAATTTCCTAGTAATCATTTTACGGCAGCGGTTGAGAATTGGAGGGTTATGGAGTGTTGTAGGGAGGATTGTAGTGTTGATAGAATGGACATTCGGTATAGTTTTAAACATGTGTATCCACCAGGAATGAGGTTGAGCAAGACTTTCAGGGCTAAAGTTAAAGAATGGCAGAGCTTGCCTTATTCAGGACCTTATGAGGACTTGAGAGAGAAGAAGAAGACTAAGGCTGGACTTAAGGGATTGGAGAAACGGGCAGTTGCTATTGTCCATGAATTCTTAAGCTTGACCGTGGAGAAAATGGTGGAGGTGGAGAAGATCAGTCATTTCAGGAAATGGTTTGGGATTGATTTGAATGTAAGGGATTTGTTCTTGGATCATCCAGGAATGTTTTATTTGTCTACTAAGGGGAAGAGACATACTGTTTTCTTGAGAGAAGCATATGAGAGGGGTCGCTTGATCGATCCCAATCCAGTTTATGATGTTAGGAGAAAGCTTCTTGATCTCGTTTTTCTGGGACGCCATGATATGCTAATTAGTGAATCAAGGTCTGGGGAGTTTGAAAAGAGCAAGGAGTCTGGGTCAGAAGATGATAATGTTGACTGAATTAACAAAGTTTCTGCCGTGTAATCTTTGCTGGCCACGTATAACATGGTTCAGTCAAATTGATTTGACATTTTGTGGTGTAGAATTAAAGATTTCCAAAGTGGGGGAACACGATCAATTCAACCGTCTTTCATGGGTACTAGCTCCTCATCCCTCTTTCCCTTTCTGATGCTGTCTGTGTCTTTGTTGTTGGACTTGCTTGTTTCTTGAATATGTAATTGTTTAAAAGGTTGTAATTCATGTGTATGTGCCTCGATATCAAACTCATAAATTACCACTCTAATATGCCTGCCTACTATTTGTTTACTATGTCTTCATTTAATTCAATTCAGTTTTGCTAGATTTTGTTTTGAGGTTGGTAGAAGCGGCCGTGCTCTTGGGCCATCTAACAGTTTGTTTGGGGAAAAAATATGATAGGAGGGGAGGGGAGGGGAGAATAAGGTGGTCTGAAGGCACCGCATAGAAGATTACAAAATTCACAGATCGAACAGGCCATTTCAGTACTTGGCTCTGGAAGAATAAACTTGTATCAGATGTAAATAGAAACGGATGATAATTTGTTGTGGGCCAAATAATTACTGATGAGTTCATTATATAGTACATGGAAACGAGCTTAAACTCTATTGGCCGTTTTGAAAGTCAAGATTTTTAAGAAGGGATGTAAAAAAAAAAATTTCTTTAAACTATCGATAGATTATTTCTCATGCTTAATGGCTGCATGCATCATGATAATGTAATTTCAATGTGATCCATCTGCAGAACAATTTTCTTTTAGAATTGGCCCTTTTTCCCTGACTCTGCTATGTAAATTAGTTTTGATTAATCTCATGAAAGTTTTTCTTTATGTTTTGAGCTGTTATGAAAACAAGACGACTTTGATATCAATGTTCATTTATTTGATAAACGAGGAGACCTTTTTCATCAAGAACCTTTGCTGAATACTGTTCTTTACAGTTTTGATTTGTCACTCGTAAGTTCAATGCAATATTTTTGTGTTCTAGCTCTTGCTTTCTGTGTTTGTTTTTCTCTTTGCAGCCCTCTCTGTCTCCAATCGCCCACTCCTGGTGTAACAAATTGAATTATTTCTAACTTGCTTTCTGTTCTTATCGGGTAACAAATTGCAGCAAAACTGTCATTGAGAAGGTTGTTCAACTAACCAGCTTCAAACTATCCAACTTGTTACGGGTGATGTTCTTAAACCATTCCCCAGAAGGGCTGGCCAACCTAAGTTATTCAACAAAAGAAAAGAAAAGAAAAAAAGTGGGTTAGAATAGAACCTTAAGGCATGAACAAGAGAACTACGGAACTTGAAGAGCAAATGATCAATTCTCCTTTGAAGCTGGTGCCTGGTAGCAGCAGGGCAGATAAATGAAAACATGGTACTTGTCAATTGCAATTTTTTGAGATGCAGAGGATCCATCCCGATGGGGTGGATGGTGAATGGTAGAGCTTAATGCTGTCAAGGTTGTGCCATTGATTTTCACCCATTTTGCAAACAGAAGGATGAAATGGAGGAGTTTATGAGCTAAGGTTGTCGAGTGGTAGCAACCATTTATACATTTTATGTCCCCCGTTTAGTCCTGAAAGTTTGTTGGCATGGAAGCCTATTTCCAAAGATTATCAAAGAAGGAAAAAAAAAAAAAAAGTTTTCTACTCAGCAAGTGGTTATGTTATTTCCGTTCATAGACATGATACATTAATAAAATTTGGTCGTCCATGTAGAATTTCCTTTATTTGATCTAACTTGCATGCATGAAAATTTTCGTCAAATTTCTGAAGTTCTTGTCATTTTTTAATCTTTCCAAACCCATACTCAGAAAATCAAGTTCTACTTTTCAATGCCTTGAGTTATAGAAGTTACCGATCAATATGAACTCTATTTCCCTCCCTCTTCATTTCTCTTTTTTACAACGGCCACGGAAGCTGGGTTTTTGCGTTTTTCATCGTTACTCCTGCAAAACATGCGGTCGCTTCCATGGCCAAAACGCCTAAAACCTCTGCTTTTAGCCTGCAAAGAGGAAGCTCCCGTAACCCAAATCCACGCCCTCGTCATCACAACCGGTCTCTCCACTAATTCAAACTCCAATAGCCTCATAATTGCTTCGTATGCCCGTATGGGCGACATCACATCGGCCCGCTACGTGTTTGACAAATTGCCTCTAAGAGGCGTAGACGCATGGAATTCCATGATCATTGCCTATTCTCGGAGAAATTACAGAAATGAAGTTTTGAATCTTTACCATCAAATGATAGATGAAGGGGTTAAACCTGATAGCTCCATTTTCACTGTAGCGATAAAGGCATCTTCAAGCTTGATGGCTCTGGAAGTTGGAGAGGGAATTTGGCATCGAGCGGTGGATTTTGGATATGGGTGTGATGTGTTTGTAGCGTCATCTGTTCTGAATTTGTATGTGAAGTGTGGAAAAATAGATGAGGCTAAGTTGGTGTTTGATAAGATGGTGAAAAGAGATGTTGTTTCTTGGGCTACCATGATAACAGGACTAGTGCATAACGGAAAGGTGCTTGAGGCAGTTGATATGTTTGGGAGGATGAAAAAGGAGGGGATTGAAGGAGATGGGGTTGTGATGTTGGGGTTAATTCAGGCTTGTGCTCATCTTGGAGACTTGAAGTTAGGTCTTTCAGTTCATGGGCATATGGTAAGGAGAGAGATGCCTATGAATGATATTATTCTTCAAACTAGCCTTGTCGATATGTATGCTAAGATTGGGAATTTGGGGCTTGCTTCTCGTGCTTTTAAGCAGATGCCCCGTAAGAACGCTGTTTCTTGGGGTGCATTGATTTCTGGCTTTGCTCAAAACGGTTTTGCAGAGTATGCGCTTGATTTGTTGGTCGAGATGCAGGGTTTTCGATTCAAACCGGATACTGTGGCTCTTGTGAGTGCACTTTTGGCTTGTGCACAAGTTGGGCATTTGAAACTGGGTAAGTCCATACATGGTTATATCGTTAGAAGGCTTGATTTTGAGCTTGTTCTAGGCACCGCATTGATCGACATGTATGCAAAATGTGGAGCGCTTTCCTGCGCACATGCCATATTTGATCGGATGGATTCTAGGGACTTGATATTGTGGAATACAATGATTGCCAGCTATGGTATCCATGGCGATGGAAAGGAAGTTCTCTCTCTGTTCCTCAAGATGAAAGAAGCAGATATAAGACCGGATCATGCAACTTTTGCATCTCTCCTCTCTGCTCTTAGTCACTCAGGGCAGGTAGATGTAGGTCAATTCTGGTTTAATGCCATGGTTAATGAATGTAAGATCCCACCAAGTGAGAAGCATTATGCTTGCATGGTTGATCTTTTGTCCCGAGCAGGACGAGTGGAAGAGGCTTATCAGCTTATAGAATCCATGAACACAGAACCGGGGATGGCTATTTGGGTTGCTCTCCTGTCAGGTTGCCATAATTGTAGGAACTTGTTGATTGGAGAAGTGGCAGCAAAGAAGATCCTTGAGTTAAACCCAGATGATTTGGGAATTTACGCCTTGGTTTCGAACTTCTTTTCCATGACTAGGATGTGGGATAAAGTATCTATTTTAAGAAAGACTATGAAAGAAACAGGAATGAAGAAAGTTCCTGGTTATAGTGCAGTGGAAGTAAATGGAAAGCATGAAGCTTTCCTGGTCGAAGATAAGAGCCATCATCAGTACGAAGAAATCATGCAAATGTTGGATAGTTTGGATAATGAGATGAGAGTTTTCAGATATGTCCCAGACACTTGGCATGACCCTGGAGGAAGTGAGTTGAAATTTATAGACTGAGAGCCTGTTATGGAAGGCCTTTTTTGTCCTCCATCTTAACAGCGTCTTGATGCGATATTGGGCATGCAAAACCTTAGATGCCAAGTCCCTGCATAATTCTCATGAATCTCCTAAAAGTGCAAGTACATGTCGCTGCCAACGCATATGGTGCAACTAAGATGCTTTCATGGTGGATGTTGTACTCAGCAAGCCAGATTTTCTGGACTCGCACTTTGAGCTTTCATGCTGAGTAGAGAAACGAAAGAGCTGAAGACATGCAACTCAGAAGCATTTATTTGTTTGATTGGTTCACATGGACCAGGTTTCCCATCCGTAATCAGAGGCTTTGTATGGGATCTCATGTGGAACCTCGTTGGTTTAACCCCTTTCGTCATCCAATAAACATGCAGTCCAGAGTTGGCATTACCATCTAACAAAAGATTCGTTGCTGTTTAGGAGGGTTGCGGGCGTTTTTTGGCCATATTTGTTAATTTGACATGGGACAAACGCCATAAAACCACAAAAAAAAACTCAGCTATATATATACTGTGAGAAACGTTGCAACTCTTGAGCAGGATCAGTTATCTGCTTTATCCATTTATACTAACGGTGTTTGCCAATGTCTGGTAAAGTTACACCGTATGTTTCTAAAATATTTTGCTTTTGCTGGCTGTGACATAAATAAATGCACCCAAAAACGGAAAGAAAATTGAAGGAAACGGTGAGAGGAAGAAGCAGCAGAAAAAATCATGCGTACAGCAAGGAGTTCCAACCACCTTTTCTTTGTTTCGAAGCAAGAAAGCCATCAGCGATCTAGAAAGCATTCCTACATCAATTGGAGAAGACAAAATGGAAAGAACTGTTGCTATCAAAAAATATGACAGGCACACAGCTCCAATCAGTAAAAGAGCACCGAGATGGACATATAGGCCAAAAATTCTAGACTCGAGAGAACTGCAAAAATATTCTGACGCTGGGTAAATCAACACATTCCCTATCTCTGAAAAGAAGCCAGGTCCTCGTCTTAACCGAGTAAGATGCATCTACGAATGACCGTTTCCATGAAATGAAGCAGATGTTTTCTACAACATCTCTAGTGAAAAGGAAAAAAAAAAAAATGATTCCCAAAACTTGATAGGCATCTTTCAAAATCTCCTCAAATCCTATGTCCTGTAGCTTGAGCCTGAAGATTCTGGTTGTCTTCTAACAATCGGTCATATTCCAGCAATAAGTCAGCAGACTGTTTCTGAAGGGAAACAACATGGGCTTCAGCAGTTTCAATCTGCTTGTCCTTTTGCTCAGATTCCAACTTCAGCTTCTTCAAATTCTCTGACTGAGTAGAAATTTGTTCTTGTAGAAGCTTTATTTCCTTGGAAGCTTTGTCTTCCTTCTCTTTAAGCTGCATTTTTTCTTTCTGAAGCCTTTCCACTTCCTCTTTTGAAGATCCCACACTACTCCTCAGCCTAATAAGCTTTGACAGATAATGGTGCATCCGATCAATTAAGAACCCAAGAAACAAGGTAAAACCTGCAAAATCAAGCTTGAGCCATTAAATACACAGTGGTGAACTGAAAAAAAGATGGGGTAAGGCAAATCAATTTAAGCACTGTCACTAAAACTATCATGAAAAAGCTCAAGCTCGGACATATAAAAACACTGGTAATATTGTCAGCCAGAGGTTCATTGACTTTATGACATCCAAACTAATATACCAAAAAATTTCCTCCAATATCAAGTTCATTTTAATTTACAAAAAAATTGAAGTTTGATTTTTACTCTAAGCTTTCACACGATCAGATCTGGATTTGATCTTCCTTTTTTTTTTTTCAATCAAATTATAAAAGCTGTATCTATTCACACCCGGTGATTCATCCAAAACAAATTCACTTCTCCAATAGACTGGAGAGGCTAATAGCTAATCTGGGGCACACTTTATTGAAGGACAGATATTCAATTAATTTACATGGGATATGATACATTTAATGGTTACTAAAGGACCAAAAGAAACTAAGTGGCATGTGTGATCAATATGAACTCCACGGAGCTCAATGACCTTTCAAAGCAACATTATAGATCTTCTGACACATGAGAAATTGCACAGGATGGACTTTCTAATATTTCTCCCTTTCTCTTTTCCTATACAAGAAAAGGCAGCTTTCATCCTTTTATGGTTACCATGGAATAGCAGATTACTAATACGATATGAGATGGCTATCTCAGCCATTTATGTTGATTATTATACGGCTTTCTGGTATTAAAAGTAATTTCACTCGCAATTAAAATCTTGATGAACATGCTCTTTAATTGAAATAAAAGACAGATCAAGATCATTTGAGGTCATACAAAGAGTCTGCCCAATCATGACATCCTCCATCTAGTTTCACAATCAAGAATGACAAATCATCATTCCCTAAGGTGCATAGAAGCTCATTTAACTTCACTATTTCATATGTTCCATTTAAATGCAAGAACCATCATGGTGTTGTCTAAATCATATAGATTTCTAGAGAAAAGTTCACAATTAATTATTTCCTAAATCTTCCAAATGCAATAGCAAGCACATTATACACCAGGTTAAATTAGACAGAAACGGTACTTAGGTGCAAGGATCAATACAGAATCTGTGTTTAGCTTTCCTTTGCTATAATCATAATCCATCCATCCTAGAAAGGATACGATATAAAATAAGAAGAGCAAATAATTCCAAGTTATTTGCAATTCAAATTATTGTATAATTTAGCTATCAAAGAAAAAAAGAAGATATTGTGTAATTTTATTAGTTACATCCAATAAATGTGCAATTTTATCAGTATTTAGGAATATTTTATGTTATTTATTAAAATAGTTTACTTCTTGTCGTGCTGTTACTACTAATTAGGAGTATGTCTTTATTTATAGGACTCTTATAGGGCTTTTTGTGTGCCTACATAAGCAGAGTTATAAGTCTTATTAAAGAGTCCATTTTATGAATTAAACTGATAGTTTCAATTTTAACTTTGAGAGGTAGATCTCCTCTTTTCTTTGTTCTTGTGAATTCAAGTACTAGTTTCTGGTGAATTCAGGAAACACCCATTGTGGATTCAAGGATTGCCAAGTTAATTCTAGGTATTTTATCTTTTCTTCAAATTCCATCCTGTCCTACGTCAGGAGAACACAAGGATGGGAAGGAGAATAATCTCTAAGACTTGCACGCATGCAACAAAAGAGAACTCGACTTTTGAAGGCAAAAGGATGTTACTTCTGCAGGTATTGTTAATCACACCTTTAGCTGTCATATGATATCAACACTCCAAAAAAGTTTAATCACACTCCCACTATCCCGTATTTTGATAAAATAATAAGAGACGAAGGTGGGACAATGGGAGTGTGGTTAAACATTTTTGGATTACCAATATCACCTCCCCTTTAACTGCTGTAGAATGCACACTCGTTTTTTGCAATAGCTCCATTTGGCATTGCCATCCCCTGGGATGTCAATGGAAAATCTAGATTTTTGGGGAAATTCCCCGAAACTCAGCCCTTTTCCAATGCTATCTTATGGGCAACAACACCAAACAAATCCTAATTAAGATAAACTTGCATGCACATAGGGAACAAAGATGATCACCAAATACCACTCAGACTCACACACTGGAAAGTGTTTAGTCAACTTTTTGAGGCAGAGCACACTTGTTGAGGTAAGTCATATGCTAAACCACATATTTAGTCAATCCGAGATCAGCACTTCTATCAGTAACATAAATGCGCATTCAAAGCTGGAGGGGGAAACTACAACTACTAACAGTTACTTCACAAACCAAAAGCAAACTATTGGAGACAAGGTATGATGCTTTTATCAATACTTGCAATCTCCTTAAAAATGTATGTCTATCTTATTGACCAAACAGAAGTGCACAATTTCCCTGATGGTTTTCCCTTCTTTTATTTAATTCAACAATGAATAAGAATCTTTTCGACAAAGAGACAACAAAAAAAGGTTACTTATATCAATTATAATGGCTAAAGCTGGTCAAACACCACCAAAACCTTTCAATATCAACGCAACATAGTTCACCTATTTCCTTTCCAGTTCATTTAATGGAAGATTCACAATAAAAGCATTCACAGTTGCTCTAACTTAAAGAAATGGTTAAGGCAATGCTATTGCTTCAACTATTATCAACCCTAAACAAGAAAAATCAGAAAGTGAAATAGCGTATGTATTGACCAAGTTTAGGGCTAGTAGAAGTAAAACCAAGAATTCATACTTATGGTAATTTTCTAAATTGCAACCTCAAAAAATCGGTGGTGCATATACTGTCTCTATGAAGTTTTCGTTGGTATAAAATCCTGCCTGTGATTCTCATCTCAATTTGCTGCTGCACTGTGAACAGCAATTCACGCACCCAGCAATAACTCAGCCATAAGAGGTCACCCTACTAAATGCATGGTTTTCCACAAAAGTGTATGCTATCAAGTTATGCATCCTTAACTCAAACTCGCCATCTCTTCTCAGGTAGGTACCTCCAATGGCATGAATTTCCACCTTCTAGATAGAATATTATAAGGGGCATTATATGCTCGAGAGTAAAAACTTCCATTGGTAATCTGAAACTTAAAGGTCAATGAAGTTCGTCTACTCTACATAATTCTAATGATTATAGTTTTTTCTTATGTTCTTGTTTTACACAGTTAAGTAAATAGACAAGGCACAGAACTAATATTAATTATTAACTTCATTTGCCCAAAAAAGAGTAGTAATCTCCTTTATTTCACCACATCGGAACTAATAACCGCAAATCGCAAGTTTTCCATCCAAATAACATCGTCAAGCGCAACAAAAGAAGCTAAATGCAAAAAACACAAAGAAGCAAGCAAACAAAAGGAACCAAAGAAAAGAATTGGATCATACCCATGAGTGATGCCTCAAGCAAGTGGGTTCTCCACAGAACCTGATCCATAGGTGACATGGTTCCAAGCTTTGCGCCCTTATTTTGGATCTTAACAATGTTCATGAGGCTAGAAAACAGAATCACAGACATGGTACCAGCAATAGTTTTCACAGTAGCAGGGCCCTTTCCCATCTTCACCTGATCCAAACTCTTTATCACCAAGTCTCTCAGTGGCCCAATCTTTACCAACAACAAAAATGCCACAACCCCCTCAGCAAACAGCACAAAGAACAACAACTGAATCATCTCTGCTGCTACACAAAACAATGCCTACCCACAAAACTAGGTTCTATCTTTAGTAAAGGGAGAACTTTAAGCCTATAGATCATAGATTCAAGCAGAAATTTAGAAAAAAAATAAAGCCTTTCTTTTTTAATGGAAACCCATTTGTCCTTGACATGTGAGCTAGACTATGCTTAATAGCACCAAAAATTTTCCAAAAGGAATGAAAGTTTGTTGGAAGGTTTCACAAAATCTCTTTTGCTTCTCGTAAATGAGTATCAATCTTGACAAGGAAAAAAACCCAGTTTTATATTTTTTTAAAAAAAAAAGGAGGTTCCAAGGCTACAGATCTGTGCAAGTAGCTCTACAAGGGGAAAGGGTTAAGCTTTTTCTAAGAAGCCCCTTTTGTTCTTGTCATTAATTTTTCCTATTGGTGTGGTTTGGGGATTAGTGGGGGCTGATTTTGCAAATGGGTTTGCTTTTTGCCAGGCCAATAGAGATTAGGGAGTAAAAGCAGGAAGGAAACGACTAAATGGGTATCAGTAAAAAAGGTTAAAAAAAAAAAAAGTTTCAGGAGGCGCAAAAGCAGGGCATTGGGCTGAAGATTATCTTGTGTTTAAGCAACTAGATAATGCATGTTTAAGGAAGTGTTTAGGGTAATGGGTAAGATGATTCTTGTCCCGTTGTTAGGTTTCTCTTTCCCTCGGATTGGAACACGGGAACGGAAGAGCTGTTGTTTTGTACTTCTCTTTAAAGAAAGTAAGATGGATTTGTTGAACGAGAGACTTCCTGTTAGACCTTTCTGAACTTGTTGACAACCTGCACTTGCATGGTACACCGTACCCACCTGGCTCGCTTGACGTTCAACAATGTGGTCATGTAATGCTTCATGTAAAACATTTGGTTTTTTAGTTTGTTTTTTTATATTTCTTTTTTATTTTCAGTTGATGGAATCTACGAAAAAAAAAGGAAAAACAAACCTAAATTCTATTATAAATAATAATAATAATAAAATCGAAGAGAAAGATAATAAGAAAATAAATTTATTATCAAACAAAGTGAATACGAGTGATTAAAACATTCGGTTGACGTTCAACAATGTGATCATGTAATACTTCATGTGAATCATTCGGTTTTTCAATTTTTTTCATATTTCTTTTTTATTTTCAGTTGATGGAATCTTAAAAAAAAAGGAAAAAACCTAAATTCTTGTATAAAAAATAATAACAATAATAGAATCGAAGAGAAAAATAATAAGAAAATAAATTTATTATCAAACAAAGTGAATACGATTGATAAAAACTCTAAAAAATTCTTTCAATCTCTACAAAACACATCTATACAAATTAATAAACAATCAAGTCTATTTATATATTTCAAGATTAGAAAGATAATTGAAAGGAATTATGAATCATTAAAAATGCATAAATAATTGAATACATTATATTGTCTTTTCAATTTCTCATATTCAATGGTGAATTGAATCATATGAAAAGTGATAATATGAAATGGTTATAGACATTTATTATTTCATAATACTCTCCATTTAATAGTTATCGTACATGGAACGTATCTCGTTAAAACTTTACTAGTAAAAAATCTAGCGAGAAAAAATCTTAGTGAAGGAAAAAAGAGAGTACAATATTTCTTGTACATGTATTAATCTCTATGTTGGGTTCTCCTTGTCGAAAACATTATTTAAAATCTTTAAGATGACGCATCTCGGTCTTGTGTACCATTTTCTCAAAAATTATGGTTGATAATGTCTTATTAAATATGTCCGACGGATTGTCATTTTTATGTATTCTTCATTTAATTGAATTATGTAAGTAGTATTATCTTCATATAATATTGTTAGAAATTCTTTACTCGTAGATAAACCGCATGCCTACGGGATATGAGAGGTCATTGATCTTAGCCAAAACAAATTCTCGACTTGTCTCATGAATTGGTATTTTTACATGGTTTAAATATGTAGCAACTACACCTTACTTCATAAAATGCCATGATATAGTTGTATCACGATGTGTAAATACATAATTCATTTGTGATCGAGTTTTGTATAAATCGGATAAATAATCTATATCTATATAATCAATTAATCATGTCTTTGATTTATTAGAGTAAATAAGCCCTTATCAATTGTTTCTCAAAGATAACGTAATATATGTTTAATTCCATTCCAATATCTCCATGTTGAAGCGGAACTATATCTTGTTAATAAATTTATAAAAAAATGTTATATCGAGTCGGTCATTATTAACAAGATAAATCAATGACCAATGACACTAAGATATGGTACTTTATGACCAAATAGTTCTTCGTTATCTTCTCGAGGTCGAAAAGTTCTTTTTGGATATCAAGTGAATGAATTATCATTTAGCTATACAATGGATGGGCTTTATATAGAATTATTGTATAACTCTTTTTATAGAAATTGAGTCGATGAATAAAAATCTCATTCTTTAAGTGCTTGAATTACAAGTCGAGATAAAATTTTACTTTTGTAAGGTATTCATATTAAATTTTCTTTCTAGATAACTTATGGCGCTTGGAATTTCTTCGAAGTTTTAATAATATTTAAGTCGTCAACATATACAATAATTATCACAAACCCTTTTTCGAATAAAAATACATAAACAAACGGGGTTATTTTTATAACTTTTTTCAATAAATATTTATTAAAGTGATTATACTATGTGTACACAAGTTCGTAATAAAGAGTGGATATTGAAAAATAAAAAATAAATATAAAAGGTATAGTATAAATTGAATTTCTAAAAACTAAAAAATAAAAAAAATACTAAAATAATCTTGATAGAGATCTTTATAATTTAATGAAATTTATTTTTCAAAAATGTGCATTATATGGTTTAGGCATCTTAAGTCCTTCTAGAACTTTCATATAGATATCATTTTAAGTGAATATACAAGTCGTGACCACAATCATTAAATACATGCATATGAAGTTTTTCATATATTTTGCTAGGGTAATGATATAATGAAATGTAATTACATCCATTACATGAGAATATGTCTCCTCACAGATCAATGTTAAGTCTTTATGAAAACTTTTGTATTATAAGTCTTGCTTTGTATCTCACAATCTCATCTTTCTTATTTTGTTTTTGCATAAATACTCATTTGTATCTCACTACCTTAATATCTTCGAGCGTTTTGACTATGAGTTTAAAAATTACTCATTTTGTAAAAGAACATATTTTTATCTAAATTGCTCTTTTCATTTAAGTCAATCATATCTATGTCGATATTCTTTAATAGATTTAGGCTCGAGATCCTTATTTTCATTCAAAATATCAATTATAATATTATATGAAAAAAAATTATCAATAAATGTTTCTTTTTTTATCTCATTTTCTACTTGCATTGACATAATTTATCGAAGTCTCTAGATTTTTCTCAAGCATTTGGACTTCTTTTGGAAGCCTATTATTAAAAATATCTTGGATTGTTTTATGAATATATGCTTCTTTTATCTTAATTATTTGCCTTTTTCTTTTAAGAATTTTTATCTTTAAAACCGATCGATCTTTTACGCTTCAAGTGTACTTTAGATTCATTTGCTACAACATTAATATATTGTTCTTCCGGAATATCAATTTTAATAGAAACATTCTTAGCAAGGACATGCGTTTCAATTACTCTTTTTGAATCCGAGAATGTATCTAACAATTGGTTTGTAAAATTTTATAAATGAATTATCTTTTGAACTTCTAGTTCATATTATTTTGTGCAAGAATCAAGATGATGTAAAGATGAAGTACTTTATGTAATCTCTTTTGCTAACATTTTCAACTCGTTTATTTCGCTTATTCTCTCTTTCTAATGTTAAAAAAACCATTTCATCAAAATGATAATCAATAAATCGAATTATAAAAATATTTCCTATTAATAGTTCAATATATTTAATTATCGAAGAGAATCTATATCCAACATATATTTTTAATCTCCTTTGATTGCCTATTTTATTTCACAGTAAAGGAGTAATAGAGATATATACTGCACATCCAAAAATTCTTATATTAAAAATACTTGGTTCATTATTAGAAACTAACTGAAGGGGAAGAATTTCGATAACTTGTGGATTTAATATGAATAAGTCTTGCTGCATATAAGATTGCATGTCTCTTAATATAAATAGGGAGTTTTATTTTTATAGGTAATGGTTTATCTATCAATTTGAGTCTTGTGATAAATGATTTTGTTAAACCTTTTTTAGTATGAACATGAGCAACAAGTTGTTCAACCTTTATTAATAGCGAATCAATAATTATTTAATGTTTGAGAAATAAATTGACTAGTATTATTAATGGGAATTATTTTAATGGCATAATCTTGAAATTGTGCTCATAATCGAATTATTTAAGCTAGTAACCTCAAAAACATTAGATTTCAAGTAGATAATAAGCATGCATGTAACCATCTTATGGATATATTTATTAAAATCATAAAATATCTAAATGGTTCACATGATAGATGAATTAGTCCATATATATCACCATAAATACGTTTTAAAAATACTAAAAACTCAAACTCAATTTTACTTAGTGATAACTTAATAATTAATTTACCTTGAGAACATGTAGAACATGAAAATTTATTAAATTAAAGAATCTTTTGGCTCTTTAATAGATGTCCATATGATTTTTTAATAATGTTTCGCATCATGGAAGATACAAGATAGCCCAACCGGTCATGCCATAACAAGAGTATTTATATCGGTAAAATTTTGGTTTATTATAGCATTTGTTTCAACCATTTAAGTGTCTATAATAAAGATCAAAAAATAAAGCGAACAATTACTCAAATATATATTTTCTATCGGATATAGTTATTGAAACATATAAGTATTCAATATTCTCAATATTTGTTGTCTCGATATGACATCCATTTAGATGAATATTTTTGAAACTCAACAAATTTTTATGGGACTTTGGAGAGAATGATACATAATTTATAATAAAAAAAATTTCCCTTTAGGTAATAATATACTTATCCTTCAA